ATTTGGATTCCTGATTCCAATCTCTAGCGGGATTCCAACTTCCATATGATGGATTCTGGATTCCACAGCAAAAATTGGCTGTATTCCGTATTCCACAAGCCAAATTTGCCGGATTACGGAATCCAAATTCCCTTTTATGGGGTGAAGGGGGGCTTAAAACTCAAGAGATTATTACTTCAATTTTTTTTTCATTTTAGTCTTCTTTACATAAATACCTGCAAATTACAAGTACCACTTTTGTAGAAACCTGCTTAGATATAAATTGGGAAGATACAAATTCTTACTTGATCCTGCTTGCAGGAATTTACTGTTTTCTGGATCCTGCAAAGGCTCTTGCAAGTAGCCCATGGGTTCGTGCTCTTGCTGAAAACAATCGCTCACAGACTAGTCACTATTCTTGTTCTTGCCTGATTCTTATTATTTTTACGCGTTCCTGATCTACGCAAAAGCATGGGTTTCTTTGCAGTCTAGACGATTATCTTTAAATGATTTGTTTCCTAAAGAAATTCCAATACTTCCGCCTTCCGCACATTAGCCCAATCCCTTCTCAAGCATTCCTGCAAACGAGGCTTTTCTAGATCTCCTCCTTTCAAACATGGCGGCCGTCTCGGAAGGGGTCTCTGAACCGATGACTGCAGATCATTCACAGCACTGCTTACAACTTACCGATCGTCTTGAGATCCTGAGAAACGACGAACGTTTCTGTGATGTGATAGTCGAAGTAAAAGGCAAAGAGTTCAAAGTTCACAAAGCTGTTCTAGCTGCATCAAGCCCGTTCTTTCTAACGCTTCTAGAAAGTAACATGAGGGAAAGCAACGAACATTTGATCAAGGTAGAACTTGAGGAAGCAACTGCGTCTATCATGGAAGACGTGTTAAAGTACGTGTACACTGGAAATGTTTCAGTCACCGAGGAAAGTGTTCACAATCTGATTGCAACGGCCGATTATCTTCTTTTACCAGGCTTAAAATCGTTGGCTTGTGATTTCTTGAAAGGGATCTTGGCAACAGAGAATTGTGTTTTTAATTATTACTTTGCTGAAAGATATCAGTGCATGAATCTAATGGAGGAATGCCGAGAGCTCATAAAATCAAATTTCAGTGCTGTCATGGAGACAGATGACTTTCTAAACCTTGATGTAAGGCATGTTAGTAAATGGGTGTCCAGTGATGACATCACTGTGAAAGCAGAAGAAGAAGTTTTCAAAGGAATCGTCAAGTGGGTTAATCACAACAAAAGTGAAAGAGAAAAAGAATTTCCTTACTTGTTTCATCAAGTCCGCCTTAATTCTGTTGACCAAGATTATCTGGTCAATGAATTGGTAAAAGAGGAACTTATAACAACTAACAATGAATGTCTAAACTTTGTGTTGGGTTTTTTGAAGTGGATTTTGGACCCAACTCTTCAATGTAGCATCAAACCTAGAACATGTTTGCAAACACAGGTCAATGGAATTTTTGTTTGTGGTGGAAATAAAACCTTGTTTTACCTTCCCAATCAAAACATTTGGTACCAGTTATCAGACTTGTTGATGGAATATCAGGATCACGCTGCCATACAGTACCGAGATAAAGTTTATATCTTCGGTAACCAAGGTGGTGGAGATTGTTACATGCCCTCAACCAACACTTGGGGTGCAATTCAATCAGAATCTTTTTGTGGGAAATTGTGCAGCTTGTTAAAATTGGATAAACACAAAATTTTGTATGCTGTGTTAGAGAGGTCATTAAAAAGCTGTGGCGTGTATCATTACGATCCTGTCAAGAGTGAATGGAAAAATTTTGTTGACGAGGAAAAGCTTCAGCTCTTTGGAGCCTGTGGTGTGACTGATGGGTGTCACCTCTATGTAATAGGTGGAAGTAAAAGGGACGATTGGCCTGCCGCCCTACCCCTTGGATCAACCAAAGTAGTAAGGATTGATCCTGAGGATGGCAATCATGAAGAGGTTGCATCTATGAATGAGGCAAGGCATGATGCATTTGGAGCAGCCATGAATGGTAAAATCTATGTGGGTGGTGGAAGACAGAAAAAAAGGACCCTCAGGACATGTGAGATGTACGACCTGTTAACTGACGAGTGGCAGGTGATGCCAAGTCTTAATGTACCACGTCACTCTTCAAGCATGGTCTGCTATGAGGAAGCTCTTTATGCTGTAGGTGGAATGAAAACGAGACAGGATAGAGAGTTATCTGTGGAAATGTTTGATTTTAAGACAAATGAATGGAAGAAGAAATCAACCATACCAGTTGCTGATGAAATTGAAGAGGAAAGAAAGGAAAAATTGCATTATAAAGCCTGTTCTGCAGCAGTGCATAAAGATGCATTACAAGAGCGTGTTGAGTACTAATCTTATAAAAACCATTCAAGGCTTTACAGTTTACTGTAATAAGTCTTTTATGGGCATACATGTATCCCCATGGTCCACAGAGAGATTGATTGATTCGCTTTTATATGAATGCAGTAATTTCATAAGCAAGTTATTTTTACAAAATTTCATTGCATGAAAGCTGTGTTGAAAAGGTGGAAAATACTGTCATAACTACACTAAAAATATGTACAGATGGTGCTGCATTAGCAAGTTTGGGGAACTGCTCAAAAAGACATGCAGGAACTAAAGCTTTGTGTTCATTTTATGTTTATGAAAGCTTTCAGTGTAACCAATATACCGTAAAATTCCGAAAATAGGCCCCTGAGCTTATATTTTTGAAAGGCCCTTTTTGAGGGGCTTATATTCGTTGGGGCTTATCTACGGAAGGAAATTTGCGTTTCAAAATCGATGGGGCTAGCCTTATAGTTAGAGGTACATTTACTGTTTTTGCTTTGTTTTACTTTGTATTTGAGGGCAATTTTCCAAGTACAAGCCCCCAGGGGGCTTATATTTGGAGGGGGGATTTAATAGACGGGTTTTTGTATTACCAGTTTGGGGGGGCTTATACATGGAGCAGGGTTGTCACTAAGTTTTCAAGTTGCCATTTAAATACAACAAGTAGGCGGGGAATCAAATGGCTAGGGATTTCTTTTGGTTCTATTTTTCTTCTATTTTCCAATAAAAGTACCGTAGCTGGGGGAAATCCCCTGCCCCCGGCTCTTAATGACCACCCTGTGGAGGGGCTTATTTTCAGAATTTTACGATACCCAGCATCACATATCCTACATTGATAATTTTTTTAATTTCCAGCATAACCAGTGTAGCATTTTCAAATTTGACTGCCTCATTAGAGAGATGCTCCATATTCGCAAGCTTCAACCCACCCTCAGGGCTAAAAGTGAATTCCAGCTTGAATTTAAGTGAATTTAAGTGAATTCCAGCTTGTCCTCAGGCAACCAGCTCTTACATTTTGCTCGCCTGGAGCCACTTCTTGCTTGTCTTAGTTAATGATTTTTTGAAAGAATGACTTATGTGGACCCTTGTCCATTGGGCAGGTAAGGCCCAGTTTAGACGCTGCTTAAGTCATGTGCCGAATCTAACTGATGAATTAAGAACGGCAAAGGAGTGGCATCTGAATCAATTTGGTGTGGCAAACGCTTTAAGTTCAGCAGAGTCTGTCAAACTTTTGTCAAATTTAACTTATGCTCGACACATGGTGCGCCATCTGAATCAGATGTTGCACCATTGTCGCTCCAAAGTCAAACTTATTCAGACAATTAGGTTCGGCACATGAAAAGTACGGCATCTAAACCAGGCTAAGCTTCAAAAGTCACTTACCCAGCAAGAAAATTTTCTATTCCCAAACTACATTGTACATTGTACATACCAGACTGGACTTCTTTAGAGCCCTGACCCTGGACATGCAAACTAACTCTGTAAATGCTAAGATGTTTGTTTAGTGCTTCAGTTGTTATGCCAAATTTATAAAATGCATCACTACAGAATTTGTGTCTCAGTTTCAGGAATGTGGTAATGAATGATGGTGCCAAAACATTGTGTTTTGTACTCTTATTTTTGCATATTCTTGCTTTTTGTTTTAATATCGACTAGGGGGGATTGAGCCTTTTTGCAAGAGGTTTGCAACTTGTCTGAAATTATACACTTATGATGCAACCCATGCACTTTTAGTGGAATTATCCTCCCTTTTGTGGAAATTACTCGAAAATGGTAATCACTAGCTGTGTACCAGCTGAGTTGAAGACAAGGTGGCCAGCTTGCTGGCTCACAACACAACACCTAACCTTAGATTGTACAGTTGAAGTATTAGAGAGTTTTAGATCCGAGTTTACCGCAAACCTCTAACTGCGGTTTGCGGTTACCCGTTTGCTGTTCGACGTTCAAACATTATTCGATTTAGATTGGAGCCATTCTAGGTTTATTTTTCTATTTAGAAATAGAAGAAATATCAATCAGTGAAAATAAAATAAATTTACGGTAACATTGGGTAATCTAGCAGCAAAGAGCTGTAAATTCTTACATTAGTTCTTCTTGCACATTTACAGCCGCCATTTTGAATCAGCAGCCATGAATGGGACTTGTTTTCAAGATCCAATAAGATTTATCAAATTTAGCCATTTCACCTGAATTTGTGCCTCTGTTAATGGATGAAGACTTGTTCCACAAAATTTTTGTATCATTATGTGGGATAAAACAAGACTTATACGCTAAAAGCTTTCAGGTAAATGACATAAGTGAAAACCTACCTCCCCACGTTGAAAACACACGTCATAAACCTCAAACCTGACGCAAAAGACTTGTCACGTGACCTCCAGCAGTTGGACGTTGGCGGTAAACTCAGATCTAAAACTCTCTGTTGTGTGATATACTGGAGATATCTTGTAGCGTTTAATTCTTTTATGTGCCTTTAAAACCTTAGAGCAGCAACAGTATCATTGTGAAATTTGAAAACTCAATAATGTATATAATGTCATTTAAAAAAATATACAAAGGGTGATATGGACTCCAGAACCCCTTGATCTCTTCCTGAATATACCCCTACTTAAAAGTATAGATATAAAAGAAACAGTCTCCTTTTTGAACTCAGTCAGGAGTTATTTCCAGTTCCTTGCTTGAGCATTTTGGAAGGCCTTTCTTTCAAAAGAGGTTCTGGTTTGGAAAGGGTCAAAGGGTGCGTTTCTTCATAAGTTTACGTTCTGGAGCTCAGCCTTACCAATTATTTAAAAACTTTGTAATTACTTTGGACATCTTTGGTTGCTTACAATCTTGAAAATAGAAATAAATGTAATGTTTGTATCACAAAGTGTTTTAAAACATGTGTTAACTGCATGTGCTTAGCCTGCGAGCAACCTCTCCATTTTGAGTGGCAAGCATCCAGGTGTTTAACCAACTTTGAGTTAAAGGGATTCAATAACTGCTGAAGAAATTGAAAATAAGCCAAAAAAGAAAAAACACTGGCAGTGATCCCCCTTTCCTAACAATAAAAAAATTGTAAGGACTAACAAGGCTTTCAAGACCTGTTTATTTTAGGTTACAGCGAAGACCAAAATAAGAACTGCAAGTTAAAACCTAGGTTTGAAGACTACCATTAGACTACCATTTGCCAGTTGGACCCTTTTAAGGTAAGACTGCTGTTTATCCAAATTGACCACTCCAGAAATACCACAACATACCATAATGATCTTTGTTTGTCACTCCAAAATTTTGCATAAGCATTGTCTTCAGTTTCTCTTGGGAGTTAAAATGGCCCCAAGAGAAACTGGATGCTTATGCAAAATTTTGGGGTGACAAACAAAAAGCAAACTGGATCTGTTATTTGTTGGCCATCTATTTCAATGTACGAAGGAGACGAAGGAGTCAGCATTATGGTATGTTATG